ACTCAGCAGATGAAGTCGAAAATGCCCCGAAAAGCCTTAATTCACAAGGTTTCCACACAACTTTTATTTTCGGTAATTTCACAGACGACATCGGAAATATGAGGACATTAAAGACACCGACCTCACCGGGAACACTGAATATGAGCTCTTATGGTACACTGGATAACACGGCCGCACAGCCGTGGAAATGAGAATGCGTCACGGTTGCCTCCTCTGCTATTACACAGTGTTGTAATCACACACACACATTCAACACACTAAAAACTGAGGAAACACCTTAAAAAATATTAAACTGGTGAGCTGCTGCTCTCTGTTTTATGCACAAAGCATCTCTTCTGAGATTTACTGCAGTCGTGACTGACAGGAACACGGGCTGAACTTTGATTTTGAAGTGCTTTGGGAAATCCATGTTGGGAAAACAGTTTGAGACTGAATAATTTATAGCACTTGGTCTGAAATTCTGATGGGAAGCTGCAGATAAGACATAATGATCCCCTCGTGATCCCTTGGACTCGGCGTGGATTTTTGTGGAAATGCACTTTGTAGCAGCACAAAGATTTACTTTGCAAAACTGAGCTAGGCTGCAGATTTTGCACATTAGACATGCAATATTTCGATGTCCCAAAGATGGATAGCTAACTAACTAAATAAAATAAAATACCATGCATTCCAGAGTGAATTACTTTGTAAATGCAAATTGCAAAAAGTAACAAAGAACGGTCAGCGGTTTCTACTTGTTTAGAAAGAAAGAAAACAAACCAAATGTAACCCCCAGCTCAGCCTGTTTTCATTAAAGTGCTGGAAAGACGCCCTCTCTGAGAAAAAAAAAAAAATTGAGACTGAATATAAAACAGAAGTGCAGACCAGAATTACGCCGCTTTCATTTTAGCGAGACAGGTTCAAAGACGTGCACTGAGCCCGGTCCAAGATTTTCTCTTAGTTTTCAAATACGACCAGATGGATTGTTTTTGTTTGACTCGAGGCTTCGTCCAGGTCTTTGAAACCAGTCCCGCACGTCTGGCTGCAAAGATGGAGGTTTTAGTCTGAGTCCAGCTGATTCCTTTAGCACACACTCTCATCACAAGACCTCAATACACATAAACAGCTAGAAAAAAGAAGAAAACAGTGCAAATACCAACGCTGTGCTTCACAACAGCTTCGCAGCGCTCCTCATCTGGAAGACGAGAGGCAGAGGTGACTGACTCTTTGGTTGCTGTTGTTAGAGTAAATTTAAAGGGATAAGATACAAAAAACCTTTAAAACAGTCGCACACTGAACATATGTCTTAGTGTTGCAATGCATAAGATTTTTGAGGATCTTTGTGCAAAAAAACCCCAACAAAATTCAGATCATATCTTATACCTTAGGTCACAAGTTGTCTAAAGTGTCACTACATACACATGTATCACACCCTGTTGTCTAAATGTTTCATCATTTATCACACAATTCTTAACACGTCACACAAGGAAAACACAAAACAGCTTCAGTGTCTCTGCATTGTACTTTTCAAATGTATTGCACACATTTCTTCCCCATTCCAACACTTGACACTGCATATTCTTTTCAACATAAAAGTAAAATGACCATTGGCTAAATCCCTGCCCGGCATAGTGATTGTCCTGTTTCTCCACAGTGCAGAGACAGAGTTGTTCTAGTGCTCGTCAACAGGTACCGGAGAAGACCAGAGAGCCTCACATTTCACAAGTTTATAGCGAAATTCAGGCATCGTGTCATTATTCTATAGGCACTAACTGTGCAAAACATCATCTGAAATATGTGTAATATTGGTGTAAATCAGACAATTAATTTTATGTTACTCATATACGGTGGGGGAACTAAATATTTGATCCCCTGCTGAATTGTAAGTTTGCTCCCTTCCAAAGAAATTAATAGTCTCTTTGATGGT